TTAACCTCATAAAAGAACCATTACATAGTAACAGGATGTCCTGTGGCTTGGTTGGTAGCGCACTTAGTTCACACACTGAGTGTCCGGGGTTCGATTCCCGATACGGGTGTTTTCTTACACCTGCTGTTCCTGTTCATCTAACATTATTTACGTGGGTGTTAAGGAATGTGTTTCCAAGTATCTACCTCCACAACCACGACCATCAAGGACATCACCAGTAATAGACAGGACAAGCTTCCATCCTCTGCAGGGGTATACATAATCCCTTGTAATGACTGCAACAAATTATACGTGGGCGAAACATCAAGAGACCTCCAAACACGTATTTCAGAACACCAATACGCAAGCAGGACTGACGATACAAGGAATGCCTGTGTACAACATCGCAATTCACACAACCATTTAATTAACTACAGAAACTCAAGACTTATCGCCACAGAAGACAACACTCAATACCGAAGAATCCTGGAATCATTGCTTATTTCTATTACCAACAATTTCAACCAGAACAATGGCTTCTATAACATAGCTGAACCACTTGCCAAGAAACTTCTTCATCGTTATCCCACATAAGAACATAGAACACTGCAGAAGGTCTACTCACAACTTGTCCAATACCCCTGCCAAGCTACCCAAGACTCTATAACCCCACCCGGTGGATCATCAGATACAGCATTCTCCACCTGACCTCAACATTCTGAACCTGACTATAAATACTCACGTACCTTCCACCCCAGGTAGATCTGTTTGTGACTTGAAAAAGCCCACTGTGTGGGCGAAACGTTGTCAATAAAGGATCACATTAAACTGTATATGTGTTTATGTTTCCATTGTGTCGGTATTTTATACCATTTATTTTCAACGTGGGTGTTAACCAACTGGTGTGGGTGGTGTATGCATAGCTAGGGCTGGTGGCTTTGAAATGAGCTGAGGCAGGATAACATCTCTTAGCTTGTAAAACTAATTTGTATAAAAAAAAGGCACAGCCTCAAAAGTGTTGTACATACATCTGAATGCAATGTGTTTCATATATAAGAAAAAACTGAAGTGGCAAATGAAAGTAATGAGTGTGTAATAATTACAAAATCTAAAACAGTTGTGATGAATGGTTTGAAAAACCGACAAGTTGAAGATTGAGACACTTATGCAGATTGATGGACTGAACACATCGACTCCAGGCTGAGGGACTGATTACCTCATACTCCTCCTCTCCTTACGCCTTCCTCTTTGTATTGGACTGATGAAGCCACTGTGTGGCGAAACGTTTCCTGAATAAAGATTCCCATATGCTGCATAAGTGTCTCAATCTTCAAAATCTAAAACATAAATAATAACAGACGCTTTATATACACTTGGCTACAAATAACAAACGAAGACAAACCAGTTAAAGACAAAGAAGTGATAATCATATTCAAGGAAAAGTTGAGTGTAGAAAAGTTGAATGTGACAAATAACACTGTATAATGATCTTGTTTTTGATAACTATAACATCAGGAAGAATAAAAGTATTGATGTCCTTTACAAGAGGAATTTGAGAGTAACAAGAGGCTGTCACTTAGAGGAGGTAAACAGAACTGCTTGTAATGGGAGATTATAGTCACTAAGAAATAGACTGAGAAATGAGAAACTATAATGGAGAAGACACATGGAGAACAAAATAATACACGTAGTAATAAAGATCTTCCTCAGCAGTATGTTATCCAGCCTCCAATACTGTGAAGAGATGAACCAATCAGACTTTAATATTCACCCATGGTTCACCAGGGTGGATATTTAGTAGGAACTAGCCACAGCTCAGTCCTAATGTTTGAATTCCTGGTACAAGTGCTAGTGAAAGATGAATATATTAGAATCAAGGAAGAAGAAAGAGTTTCAAAATTCCAGCCGGAATAAGATAAGTGATGATGGAGGAATTTAAAAAATACAGAGAGCTGTTTTCATACCTAATTTCTACAGTAAGAGTAAGTCTGGTGCGGAAAAGAGTAGAGATGTGGACGAGTTGGAGTTTGTGAGAACCTATAAGAATTAATCAGAAAAATTAGTCTGTTGGCTATTCTGCTGGTAAATAAGAAACTGATGCGGTGAATATCAAATTAATAGGAAAATGTCAGTGATAACAGGAGGAGAGAGCTTTTTACTCCATCCTGCTACGCTGGTGTGGGAGTAGTAATATAAATGAGATTAGGTTACCAGTATAACAACGAGGTAAAAGAACTTGGACGACATCATGGATTTCTTCAGCTCTGCTGGTGCCCTTCTGGTTTCTTGTAGGGTGGCTGTACTTCTTGTAGGGTGGCTGTGCTTCTTGTAGGGTGGCTGTGCTTCTTGTAGGGTGGCTGTGCTTCTTGTAGGGTGGCTGTGTTTCTTGTAGGGTGGCTGTACTTCTTGTAGAGTGCCTGTGCTTCTTGTGGGGTGCCTGTGCTTCTTGTGGGGTGCCTGTGCTTCTTGTGGGGTGCCTGTGCTTCTTGTGGGGTGCCTGTTCTCTATGGCTTGACTGAGTCTCGTAGTGGGATAAATGTATCTTGCTAGAGTGGCTCTCGTATTCTCACTAACCTTACAGTGTTCTTACCTCTTTATAAACAGTGGTTGTTGTAACATAGATAAAACACCTGCTAGTTCTCAGACGCTCACAGAGAACTCAATTAAAAGGCTTCGAAATTGCTAAACAAACTTTTTTTTGTATAATAAATAATTGGTAGCATTATACTATGAAAGTTAAATATATTTTTCTGCGTCAGTTTGTCACCATTTTATCTCAATATTTAAAATCAAATACTATTATAATTACTGGAGAACGTGTCAGAGCTTCACGTGATTTATTGTAACCCCGTAATACACAAACGTATATACATCTAGATGTGTATCTCCAGGTTTACCTGCAGTTTACCTGGAGAGAGTTCCGGGGATCAACGCCCCCGCGGCCCGGTCTGTGACCAGGCCTCATGGTGGATCAGGGCCTGATCAACCAGGCTGTTACTACTGGCTGCACGCAATCCAACGTACGAGCCACAGCCCGGCTGGTCAGATACCGACTTTAGGTGCTTGTCCAGTGCCTGCTTGAAGACAGCCAGGGGTCTATTGGTAATCCCCTTCATGTATGCTGAGAGGCAGTTGAACAGTCTTGGGCCCCTGACACTTATTGTATTGTCTCTTAACGTGCTAGTGACACCCCTGCTTTTCATTGGGGGATGTTGCATCGTCTGTCGAGTCTTTTGCTTTCGTAGAGAGTGATTTTTGTGTGCAAGTTTGGTAGTAGTCCCTCTAGGATTTTCCAGGTGTATATAATCATGTATCTCTCCCGCCTGCGTTCCAGGGAGTACAGGTCAGGAACTTTAAGCGCTCCCAGTAATTCAGGTGTTTCATCTCCGTTATGCGCGCCGTGAAGGTTCTCTGTACATTTTCTAGGTCAGCAATTTCACCTGCCTTGAAAGGTGCTGTTAGTGTGTCAGCAGGATACAAATAACCCGCACATAGAAAGAAGCTAAGGACGACGTTTCGGTCAGACTTGGCCCATTGACTAGTCACACCAACACTGGCTCCCCCCATCTTCGTGTGTTAGCGTGACTGGTTAATATTCCAAGTCGGACCGAAACATCGTCATAAGTTTCTCTCTCCTACGTTCGGGTTGTTTGTGTATTGTTCCAGCCATGCTATTGTGCAATGTTGTTCTTTATGTTAATATACAGTGTTTACATTAACACTTATTTTAGATATTAATTCACCCTCAAAATTAATGTTAAGGCAGTGTTACCAGTTCCAGGTATCCTGGGTATCACATACCCCAGTTCCAAGTATCCTGGGTATCACATACTCCAGTTCCAAGTATCCTGACTATCTCATACCCCAGTTCCAAGTATCCTGGGTATCACATAGCCTAACTCCAAGTATCCTGGATATCACATACCCCAGTTCCAAGTATGTCAGTTGCGTTAACTACATTTAGCAAGAAAAAGTTCCATGATGAACAGCTGTGTATTTCCCTCAGATAATGTTGGAGCAACTCACCTCCTGCCATGTGTTATGTGGCGAGTGTATCTCAGGCTTATTAGCCACATTTCTCACATGCTCCGCCCTCTGTCATGTTGAAAAATTGTTACAACGAAACACTGGTATTTGTCTAAGAAACATATTCATTATGAAACTAAACGTATACAAACAAACTTAAGAAGTTATGCTATGTTCAGCTGAAAGCGGGTTTACATAAAGCTAATATCAGTTTTAATAAGCCAGAATATCAGGAAGAGCAAGAAAATGCAATTGGTGGTTTCAGCCTTTTCATATCTCAACAAATCTGACAGTCATTTTCAAACAACACAAGAACTCCGTCTGGAGTTTACCTGGAGAGAGTTTCGGGGGTCAACGCCCCCGCGGCCCGGTCTGTGACCAGGCCTCCTGGTGGATCAGCCCCTGATCAACCAGGCTGTTGCTGCTGGCTGCACGCAAACCAACGTACGAGCCACAGCCCGGCTGATCAGGAAAACCCTCATGTCTGCAGCAACTCTTGTAATACTTGAGACTCAGTGTACATAGGACAGCCATGGCAATATTTGGAGAACTGTTATTCTAACATAAACGTATTTTCAGATATTGTCAAGAAAACTCTGCTCTCTTCCAACATTTGAAAAGTTTCAGCCACACCATCAATTGGAATGAAATATACTGCCTCAACTGCCATTACTGTACTTAATAAAGCCCACTATGATGAAAGGAAGGGAAAATTCTGAGTGACAAGATCAAGTAGCTCCTGACGACGCACGAGTGTGAAAGATCTTGAATTAAAGATTTACATTCTCATGTGGCTTGATCTACACATATAATGTGTATATATATATTATTATTATATATTTATATTATATATTTATATATATATTCAGTAAACTGGAGTTTGATGGCTGAAAATGAAAGTTTATGTAGGTCTCTTCATCCAAGGGATGACTCGTGTGGGTTTAGAGCTTTCCCAGAAATATAATAATTTAAGTTAGGACTGATTAATAACTAAATCAGAATAAATTATTTATTTACAGACTTTTGATACAATAACACAGTATTGGTAATTTATTTATTTGATGTAAGATGTGATTTTTAACAACAAATGTGAAAGGTATGTGTTCCATAACTCATATGTGCCTCACATGTGATGTGGTGCCCCACATGCAACAGGGTTGTGATGACTCTTGTTCAGTTAGTAGGAGAGGCGCATGGCTGCACGCAGTCAGCTGTTCCATCACATTCGCCTGTTGTAGCAGAAAATTTTTCTCCCTCCGGACATGTGTGTAAATTATCACTCTCGGGATAATAATTTGCTTCTGGACAGTAGTAAAAATTCTGGCAATTTGTTGGATCAGCGATCTCAGTGTAGGCATCTGTACAATAGACTATACACGGATCACAACACTGAGACTTGTCTGCCTGGCATTCTGTGCCATCAAAGTAATTGTCTGCGGGACAAGGAATGTGAATAGGATCCTCACTTACTCCACACAGGTAGTACTGGGCACAGTCGTTCGGATCCGCAATTACGGCAGTTACGCCAGGACTTGGACATGAATAAAGACATTTTGGTGCACATACTCCACAAGTAGCGGAGCCCGCTTCATGACAATCGGAAGATACATTATCAAATTTTTGGTCATCGTCGCAGGTGAATGGAATATCACTCGGATGTCCATTTTCCAAGCAAACGTAATACCTACGGCAGTTAGTAGGATCAGGAATTTTTTCACCGGGATCTTTCTCAGTACAGTTAAGGACACAGTAATCCTCAGTCGCCGCTTGTGTCTCACTCAAAACTTGCAGGACTTCCTTGACACAGTCTGTGTCACAGCTGGTGTAAGGAACATCGCCTGACACACCGATAACCTGAAGTTATAAAGTAAACTTTACTACCTTGTGTCAACATATAAGTACTTTCCATTACAACAAAATGAGAAAAAAAGTGTGAATGTTGATGAAGCAGTTCATTTGTTTTAAGTAACAAAAACATGGGTTTGATCAAAAATATTGCAGATCAAACACAGGTGGTGCATGCCAAGCACACATGTTGCATAACAAACACATGTTGCGTAACAAACAGAGATGCTGTATACCAAACAATCATTGTTTGAACCACTAGAAAAAATTCAATCAGCCACTGGAGACGCGTCAACTGACAAAATGACAGAGAACAGAAAATGTAGTGCCAATATTCCAACTAATATTCTAAATAATGAACATAAAAACAAGAATTGTAAAGCATCGGGAGAATGGGAGTCATAAAAAACCATTACATAGTAATAAGGTATCCTGGGGCTTGGTTGGTAGTGCACTCAACTCACACATTGAGTGTCCGGGGTTCGTTTCCCGGTACGGTTGGAAAACATTAGGACGTGTTTCCTTAAGACACCTGCTGTCCATGTTCACCCATCAGTAAAATGGGTACCTGGGTGTTAGTCGACTGGTGTAGGTCGCATCCTGGGACAAAACTGCCCGAAATGCTCTGCATAACAAGTGGCTTTCTATTTAGTATGTCATTGATGTTAGCTAGGCCTGTATACCTTGTACATGTACTCGTAGAAATAAAGATATTATATTATTATTATATTATTATTATTATTATTATTATTATTATTAAATCAGACTTTAATATTCACCCAAGGTTCATCAATGGATGGTTATTAGGAACTATCCACAGCTCAGTCCTAATTAATGTCTAAGTTCCTGGTACAAGTGAGAGTGAAAGATGAATATCTTACAATTAGGGAAGAAATAAAAAGAGCTGCAAAATTCCAGCCGGAATAATATAAGTGGTGATGGAGGAACTTAAAAAAAACAAAGCTATTTTCATATCTAATTTCTACATTAAGAGAAAGTCTAGTGCGGGAAAGAGTAGAGATGTGGGTGAGATGGAGTTTGTGAGAACCTATAAGAATTAATCAGAAAAATTAGTCTGTTGACTATTCTGCTGGTAAATAAGAAACTGATGCGGTGAATATCAAATTAATAGGAAAATGTCAGTGATAACAGAAGAGAGCTTTTTACTCCATCCTGCTACGCTGATGTGGGAGTAATAATATAAATGAGATTAAGTTACCAGTATAACAACGAGGTAAAAGAACTTGGACGACATCATGGATTTCTTCAGCTCTGCTGGTGCCCTTCTGGCTTCTTGTAGGGTGACTGTACTTCTTGTAGGGTGGCTGTACTTCTTGTAGGGTGGCTGTACTTCTTGTAGGGTGGCTGTGCTTCTTGTAGGGTGCCTGTGCTTCTTGTTGGGTGGCTGTGCTTCTTGTAGGGTGGCTGTGCTTCTTGTAGGGTGGTTGTGCTTCTTGTTGGGTGGCTGTGCTTCTTGTGGGGTGCCTGTTCTCTATGGCTTGACTGATTCTTACTGTGGGATGAATGTATCTTGCTAGAGTGGCTCTCGTATACTCACTAACCTTACAGTGTTCTTGCCTCTTTATAAACAGTGGTTGTTGTAACCTAGATAAAACACCTGCTAGTTCTCAGACTCTCATAGAGAACTCAATTAATAGGCTTCGAAATGCTGAACTACTTTTTATATAAGAAATAATTAAGCAAGTTAAATATATTTTTCTGCGCCAGTTTGTTACCATTTTATCTCATTATTTAAAATCAAATACTTTTATTACTGATGAACATGTCACTTGGAATATTACAAGATGCTACACATGATTTATTGTAACCACGAAATACACAAACGTATATACACCTAGATGTGTATATCCAAGTGTATATACACAGGACACAAATAACCCGCACATAGAAAGAAGCTGATGTTTTGGCCCGACTTGGACCATTGACTAGTCACACTAACTGGCTCCCCATCTTCGTGTGTTAGTGTGACTAGTTAATGGTCCAAGTTGGACCGAAACGTCGTCATAAGCTTCTATGTTCGAGATATTTGTGTATTGTTTCACTCATGGTATTGTACCGTTTTCTACTTTCTGTATATACACAATGTTTAATCCCTATTTTAGATATTAATTCATCCTCAAAATTATTGTCAAGATAGTGTTATCTTACCGACTCTTGTGTGTCCAACACTCCTTAAAAACGCCAAAATAACATGATGAAGGGGGCTACCATACGCCTTACCATCAACAATGATGAAGATAAAATCTTTATCACGTCACACACACACACACACACTGTGTGTGTGTGTGTGTGCGCCCGCGCTCGTGTGTGTGACCCAATTAATATTTGTACTTATAACTCATTACACTTGTGACCGCCTGACCGGGTGTGGATGTGTGAATGGCTCATTACTTTGTAATTTGTTCATGATTGTAACAATGTGTAGAAGTGTAGATGATACATTACCTTTGTAATTTGTCGTGATTGTAACAATGTATAGAAGTGTAGATGATACATTACCTTTGGCTAATTTGTCGTGATTGTAACAATGTATAGAAGTGTAGATGATACATTACCTTTGTAATTTGTCGTGATTGTAACAATGTATAGAAGTGTAGATGATACATTACCTTTGTAATTTGTCGTGATTGTAACAATGTATAGAAGTGTAGATGATACATTACCTTTGTAATTTGTCGTGATTGTGACCAGATCTACCTGGAGTTCGTTACCTTTGTAACTTGTTAAGCTATCAAAACTTTGGAGTCCGGTCCCTGGACCCATTATGCACCTCTGTAATCTTTCGACTACCGACGACAGGATGGGTATGGGGTGCATAATTGGGTCATGATCAAATTTTACACGGTGAAATTTCTCAACAAAAGCTTATTTAGCTATTTGTTTATTCTTAGAAATAAATACTATTATTGGACACGTCTCTAGGCTGTCTTTAAGATCAGCTTAGTTTGTTACAGCTTGTCCAAATGAATCACGAAGTTGTTGTATACTGTATGGATTTAAGCCTATTTCTCCTTTATACCTATATAACTAGTACTGGTTTCCTCCCTGAAGCTTATTATGCTGACATCTTCGTCAATGATACAACGAGCACCTGCAGCATCCTCAGTCCTTCCAGCAACATATATTATAATTATGATACTTTGGACTCAGGCCACTGAGCTCAGCACTGGTAAATCAACGGTCACTGCTGCTATAGCAACCATTACAGCAGTGACCTTAATATGTGACCTTAGACACAGTATAGTTACGTCCCAGTCAAGGTGCCGGTTAATGACTCACCGTAAAACAGACCTGTGACAGATTTTTCCTGACGAATAAACTAACAGCAATAACAATGGCAATTTCTTCATCAATTGCCTCCAGACGGTTTGTAATGTAGACATGTATCTTTTAATTATATAATGTTAGATTTATTCGTGATATGAAACCCACAAAGAGTTATTAAAGACGAGGGAACTTACGTGCCTCTTAAGAATAAGCTTGGCATTAAATAACTAATAACAAAATATATATAAATACACTGTAATATTTTATTGATTTCATGACTGTGTAAGCTCATTATTATTGCTCTATTCATTACCCCAAGTATCCTGGGTATCACATACCCCAGCTACAAGTATCCTGGGCTTCACATACCCCAGCTATAAGTATCCTGGGTATCACATACCCCAGCTATAAGTATTCTGGGTATCACATACCCCGGTTCTTAATATGTCAATTGCGTAAACTACAACATTTAGCAAGAAAAAGTTCCATGATAAACAGCTGTGTATTTCCCTCAGATAATATTGGAGCAACTCACCTCCTGTTATGTGTTATATGGCGAGTGTATCTCATGCTTATTAGCCACATGTCTCATATCATCTGGCATCTCGAAAAAACACTTATTCAAAAACTGGTATTTATCTAAGAAACATATATAGTGTAAAATCGAAAATATACACATATATACATGTGTATATACATATGTGTGTGTGTGTGTAAGACAAGCCTCAGGGGGATGGAAATCTTCAGTGCAAGATCTTTCACATATCTCCGTGCATCATCAGGAGCTTTGCAATGTTGCAAGTGCTGTGAGGAAAGTTTCCCTCAATCCACCTGTTGCTCATGCAACACTGCATAGCTCCTGATGATGCACCAAGATGTGTAAAACATCTTAAGATCTTAAGCTGAAGATTTCCCCTCCAGTGGCTTGTCTGTGATTGTATATTATATATACGTATGTAGTTTTTTGGCTACTTTCTTATTCATTAATTTTTTAATAGTTTGAAACTGAAGATATTCTACAATTGTAATATAGAGGTTTCTTTGTATTCAGAATAAGGATGGTAGCTGGCAGTGTTTGCTTCCTCACTCGTCGCCTCTAGACTTGTGGCTTTGTCCCCTCGTGAAGATTTCTGGCTCAGTTTTGTAATGTACGAATTATTTTTGGTAGTTGTAGTAATATTGTAGTAGCAGCAGCAGTATTAGTAGTAGCAGTAGCAGCAATAACAGTTGTTGCAGTTTTTTTTTTTTAACAAGTCGGCCGTCTCCCACCGAGGCAGGGTGACCCAAAAAGAAAGAAAATCCCCAAAAAGAAAATACTTTCATCATCATTCAACACTTTCACCACACACACATAATCACTGTTTTTACAGAGGTGCCCAGAATACAACAGTTTAGAAGTATATACTTATAAAGATACACAACATATCCCTCCAAACTGCCAATATCCCAAACCCCTCCTTTAAAGTGCAGGCATTGTACTTCCCATTTCCAGGACTCAAGTCCGGCCTTGTAAAAAGTAACCGGTTTCCCTGAATCCCTTCACTAAATATTACCCTGCTCACACTCCAACAGCTTGTCAGGTCCCAAATACCATTCGTCTCCATTCACTCCTATCTAACACGCTCACACACGCTTGCTGGAAGTCCAAGCCCCTTGCCCACAAAACCTCCTTTACCCCCTCCCTCCAACCCTTTCGAGGACGACCCCTACCCCACCTTCCTTCCCCTACAGATTTATACGCTCTCCATGTCATTCTACTTTGATCCATTCTCTCTAAATGACCAAACCACCTCAACAACCCCTCTTCAGCCCTCTGACTAATACTTTTATTAACTCCACACCTTCTCCTAATTGCCACACTATGAATTTTCTGCATAATATTTACACCACACATTGCCCTTAGACAGGACATCTCCACTGCCTCCAACAACCTCCTCGCTACAGCATTTACAACCCAAGCTTCACACTCATATAAGAGTTTTGATACCACTATACTTTCATACATTTCCTTCTTTACCTCCATAGTTAACATTCTTTGTCTCCACATATACCTCAGTGCACCACTCTTATCTTTTTTCCCCTCATCAATTCTATGATTAACCTCATCCTTCATAAATCCGTCCACTGATATGTCAACTCCCAAATATCTGAAAACATTCACTTCTTCCATACTCCTCCTCCCCAATTTGATATCCAATTTTTCTTTATCTAAATCATTTTATACCCTCATCACCTTACTCTTTTCTATGTTCACTTTCAACTTTCTGCCTTTAAACACACTCCCAAATTCGTCAACTAACCTCTGCAATTTTTCTTTAGAATCACCCATAAGCACAGTATCATCAGCAAAAAGTAACTGTGTTATTTTTTAATTTGATTCCCCATAATTTAATCCTACCCCTCTCCCGAACACCGTAGCATTTACTTCTTTTACAACCTTATCTATAAATATATTAAACAACCATGGTGATATTACACATCCCTGTCTAAGATCTACTTTTACCGGGAAGTATTCTCCCTCTCTTCTACACACCCTAACCTGAGCCTCACTGTCCTCATAAAAACTCTGTACAGCATTTAGTAACTTACCACCTTTTATCCACCAATACATAATCTAACAAACTACTTTCATTACGTGCTATATCATACCTTGTATATTTATTTATCCTCTTTTTCATAAAATATGTATTACTTATTACCAAACCTCTTTCTACACATAGCTTCAATTAAAGGCTCCCCATTTTCATTTGCCCTTGGCACCCCAAATTTACCTACTACTCCCTCCATAAAATTTTTTCCCACTTTAGCATTGAAATCCCCAACCACAAGTACTCTCACACTTGGTTCAAGACTCTCCACACATTCACTCAACATTTCCCAAAATTTCTCTCTCCTCTACACTTCTCTCTTCTCCAGGTGCATATATGGTGGTATTATTATTTTTAGTAGTGTTTGCAATGTTGATTTATCAAATTAACTACATATTGTATAAGATGTATCAGTTGCTATTGAAACAAATAACTTGATGAAAAAACTGAAATTGATTATTCAGATCAACAAAAATGAGTTAGTAAACTTGCACTGTTTATATAGTTCAAATATTATCTACCAACCTTCCTCCTTGATGACTCCCTACTGATAGATCTGATCATCAGTATCATTCAGTTATATCACTTAACATTCCATCCTGGCATCATACATAATTATGCTTTGCATAACTATACAACCACTTATGATGTTTTGCATAACTATTAGCTTTTACATGTATGATACAATCTATGCTAAATAA